TCAGCCCTCCCGAGTCTCCCTGTTGCTAAAAGTCCGGAATAAAGTCACTCACTAATCTTACCACTCCACCTAAAGTTAACATAGTCTCCGGTTGGAAGAGACAGGGTCAAGCTAAAACTAGTACTAGTAGTGATTTGAATGTTAGCGGGTCAGGAGGGGGCGTGGCAGGAGGCGGAGTAGAGGGAGAGACGGATAAAGAGGAGACACTGCCTGATGGATGGAACGGTCAAGAGCTTATCTTGTTTCGTATGTTGAGGCCTATTTATTGTCATAATTATTGCTCAATGGCTGAAGTAATTGAGTCAAAGACATGTCAAGAGGTAAGAGAGAGTTTGGTTTGACGTACATTTGTACATGTACATGTACATGCTGAAGTATTGGCAGAGAGAGCTAGCATTATGTGAATTGATAGTGTACTAGTAAGCAACCACCAATATAAATCCACCATTTTGCTTTATTTTGAGCATGTTCAATGACTTTTACATGTAGCAGCTACATTATTATTATTATTATTTATTTTATTTCCATTAGGTGTATTCCTATGCTAGTACATTGCCACTGGATCCAATACTAAACCAGCACCCATCACGTCCACCTGGAACTAGCCAGAAAAGAAAAAACATGAGGTTTGTACTATTATCCCATAATAGACAATACATGATACTCACATGACTACTTATTTACACATTCATGTACATGTACATGTATAGGGCTTGGCCCGGATTCAATACCACAGGAAGATCAAACGTGTAGCAGGTAACATAAATTGTGTACATGTATACATGTGTGTACATGTACATGTACATGTGTAATATATACCATATAGTGCAAAATTTTCAAGGGCTGTAATTTTTTGCAAATTTGCCAAAAAACTATTTTCTAAATTTAATTTTTGTGAATTTATGCTGTCTGCCATCTTGTAACGTAATAATTTGATTTTTGCAAAAATGCATGTAATTTTTACGAGTCTTTAAAAATCGCAAAATCCATGAAATTTACAGCCCTCAAAAATTGTGCACTATACGGTATAAGAGAGACACACATGTACATGTATGTTCATGTGCTAAATACAGTTGTTGATACATGTATATCAATAGTGTTAGTCTTTTCATTATACTGTACACATGAATCATTGTACATTGTTTTTATATTGCTGTCCTGTTTTAGGTCAAGCTACCTATCAGTTCAACTATCAGCCGTGCTATCATCCAGGACTACCTTGTGACCAGGAGTGTCAGTGTGTCTCTTCCAATAACTTCTGTGAGAAATACTGCAACTGTAACCCTGACTGTGAGTTAATAATAATCATGAGAGCATCACCTACAGTACTTAGACTCTGACATTATTTACTGTAATGTGTGTGTGCTTATTATTATTACTAGTAATAATTACCGTAAATCAGGAAATTTATGCGGTAGAAATTTTTTTCTGTTTTAAAATTGTGCTGTGATTTTATTTTTACTAAATAAGACTGTGTCATGTATTATTGAATGTCACATGTAATTATATTTGGTGATCTAA